TCAAGGCCATGATAGCGGGTCACTTGTTCAATGACAGAAAGGCTAAAACTACTCAGTTGAGCGATTTGGACCATGAACCGTTTTTTGAAGATTATTTCTCCATGTAACTTCTTGTTGCATTACACCAAATAGTCAAGCAATAAAAGAGGGTGGGATAAAGTCATTGTAAAAACAGTTTCCTACTTTTCAAAGGAAGAAATGTATTGATTTTCTGCATAAGTAAATAATTTTTATGCTAAGATTGCCGAGCAAGTCTACATGTTCATGAAACTTTAGTGTTAGATTTATAGTTTTTCTGCTTCAACAAGATGTTTTACAGAGACATATAAACATAGATTTGTATTTTTTAATTCCATTTACTTTCTTTATCTTTCATCAGTATATATTTTGTCTTATCAACATTTAGAGACATTTGATTTTCTAAACACCAATATTTTCAATATTTACTAAATATATTTCTCTCATAAACATGTTGATCATAAGTAGACATTTCCATATTTGCATGACTTACGTGTAAGGGAAGTTCATTAATTTACAAAATGTACAGTAAGAGACCTAATATTGATCCCTCTGTCACTCCTGCTGTGACAGGTTAGACATCAGTATAATTTGTTGACTAAATTTTTCACATTTTGTCCTGTTATTCTGATAATCATTTCATTGATAATTCATCAAATTTGAAATTCTTTGATTCTTCCATGAGTGTTTTATGACTTACTTAATCAAAAGCTTGGTTGAAATCCAAAAATGTTATACCTTTGAGATTGCCTTTTTTCTATAGAATGCACCCAAGTATCTGTTTATTTAGTAGTTGCTGCTTGTCAAGAATGAAATTTTTTAAATCCAGATTTACATTTTGTTATCAGATAAAAGTGGACATAAAATTTCACATTTGATTTGCTATGAGCTTTTCAATTAATTTGGATAATGTTGGAAATGTAGAAATAGGACGGTAGATGCTTGGGTGCTGGCTGTTTGTTCCCCTTTGTATATACAGGGATAGTTTTTGCATGTTTCAACTTCGATGGAAAACTACCATTACTGATACTAGCATTGATTAAATGAGTAACTGATTTATTTATGATACTGATTATTTAAAAAAGAATTAAGCACCTGCATCCGGAGTGTATAAAACGAGGTAAATTATTGACAAACAAGTCGATGAAATAATAAATTAAGCAGGGTCGTTTAAAATAATTATATTGTTATCTCTTCGCTAGATACAATGACCGTTTCAGCAAATACAATTTTTCATTTAGTAAAGTGCTGACTTACGTTTCTCATGCTAATTGTTAGTCCATTATTTATACATTGAATCAACGACAAATTTACCCGTTATTTCCCGATCATGACAAGAAAAACACGGTGGGTGTGACCGGTCAGCAGGGGATGCCCACTCCTCCATGGCACCCGTTCACACCTCTGATATTTCCGAGGTCTTTGGTTTGCTCTGCTCTTATTTTGTATTGTTTTATGGACTTTAATATTGAATACCGTTCATTATCTCCATATTCTTCAACTAATAAGATCAGGCCAAATTTCCTTATTTTCCTTTTCTAAAAAACGTCTTGTTACATGTTCCTCGAGAACATAATTTGCAGATGGCACGTAGTAAAGTCCACGTATATATTGGTAAACTTTTCCAGAGTACCATGCGATTTGGTGCCGAGCAAAGCGAGGGACCAAATCGAATGGCGAGGGAAAAGTTTAATAACATACTTAGTACAGGCTTCACACGAGAAATTAAGCCCTTTGTGTCTCTGTCTATTTGATTAAACATCTTTGTGTGTTTCTTATATTTAATCAAGATGCAGATATTTTGCCATTTTGTACAGACCCAGATGTGATAATTTATACCCTAGGGGTAATATCTACCTGCCAGGTGACGGTCTACAGTGAGTAGTTTTCAAACATGATAAAGGTTCATTTCTATAGATTCAAAAATCTGTATGAAGGTAGACATGTCAGGAGCATTTTATTTTTGTGGAGATTATGAAATATTTGTGTTTGATAGTAATATTTTTTTCCTGAAAGCAAAGAATTTCACAGAAATTGATCATGAAGAGCAGAAAAAAGAAAGGTTTCCGGTTGGATATATATGTGCAGTACTTGAGCAATATAGGACTGTTCCAAAATTTGAACTTTTTAAAACAATCATATTGCAATCAATCCATATCTGTTTAATTGGAATAAAAGAATGAATTTAATAGTAAGTAAAATTTTATTGCTCTCTCTTCTCAATGAGATAATTTTGATTAAAGTACCATTGTCAATGGCAAATCCTAAATATTCAATCCATTACTAGACATTTCTATTTTTTCTCTTTCACTTTTGATTTTTTAAAATTAATTTTATTCATGTTTTAAAAGAAAAGAAAAAGGGAAAGGAAATCGATCTTTTATCGTGTACAAATTTATTAACTATGTAGAATTTTTCGACTATGTAGCACATCAGGTTCATTATTGGTTGTCTGGTGACCTTGCCCTGAGTCCATGATTGTAATGACCTATCATTGGTAATGATTTGCTCAATAATTATGCACACAATTGCAGAGTCATCCAATCATGAAGCTTGGGTTTGGGGTGTACCAAGTGATTTGGTACACACAAAAATCATTTGTTCGAGGTGTGAAACATGTACTAAAGAGTGTTAAATCTTTGACGGACAGTATCTTGAAATTAAAAAAAAATGATAGACAATTGACAAATGTTGTCTTGTGTGCAAAAATTAAATACATTTATTACATTAATGAATTTAAATCAAACAGACGTTTATTTCGGGTTCCAATGCACAGTGTAATGTACAATAATTATAATCACTGTCCTAATTTAGTCAAAGGGACAACTTTGCAATGTAAGAATTGACTTGCCTGAATGAAGTAATTCAAAAACAATTATTATGGATATTGTATCAATCCTTTCTCATATATGAAAATTAAGTAGGGACTTTTTGATCTAATATACAATTGCATAATTTTTTTTGTGAATCGGGATATTGGAAAATAAGACGCCCATGGGCCACAACGCTCACCTGAGCATCGTAACTTGAAAAAAGAAGTAAATGCATGGTTTATTATTGAAAAGTTTGAATCCTAAAGTAGTCCCATGATCAATCATGTATTTGCTATTCATAAAAAGATGATTTGAAATGAATTTTCCTCTTTATTTCCATATAAAAGTTTGGTCAGCCATTGTGGCCTAGCCTTACCCTTTGGGTCATGATTTGAACGAACTTGAGTTTACACTCCCTGAGGATATGAATGTAATCTACATGTATTATGTCTTTGCCATTCTTGAGGAGATTTTCAAAAAGTTTTTCCTATAAATTTCTATGTAAAACTTTGGTCGGCCATTTTGGCCCAGCCTTATCCCCTGGGGTCATGATTTGACAAACTTGAATCTACACTACCTGAGGATGCTTCCATATAAATATGATGAATTTTGGCTTTGTCATTCTTGAGAAGATTTTCATCTATTATATATTTCTATGTTCAACTTTGGTCGGCCATTTTAGTACCAACCTACCCTGGGAGTCATGATTTGACCAAACATAAATCTACACTACCCGAGGATGTCTCCCCATTAGTTTCATCTTTCCTGGCACAGTGGCTCTAAAAAATAACATTTTTATGACCTTTAAAAAACAGATTATTCTCTCTGGAATTCTATATTTTGGATAAGAGGTTAAGCTCTGTATTAAATATAAATGCTTCAATTTGGAGCCATCGTCAAAGGAATTTATTGAATAAGGTTGAAGAAAAATATGGAAATAACGAACAGTATTCAATCTCAACGTCTATTAAACAAATATACAAAATAAGAGCAGAGCAAACACGGACCTCCGAAACATCAGAGGTGGGATCAGGTGCCATGGAGGAGTGAGCATCCCCTGCCGACCGGTCACATGATGTCATCATTCTTTGTCCTGGCATACAATAACGTCATGTTTAATAGGTACACTGTCTCCAAGGGACCAAGTCATCATTACTGCATTGACAACAAAACCTGAGGCGTTTCCATTTTTTCTGAAAAAGGCCTTAAGTGTCCCTTTCTATTATGTATGCAAGTCACATGGATGTATACTGTCAGTCATAGCTGGGACTCATTTAGCTCTAAACAAACGTCAACTTGTGCAACGACATGTCGGATTTTAAAGCATCAATAAATAAAATATGTAAAGCTGAAAGTGTTTTGAAAAAAGAAATACGGGATAACTTTTTATAAATCTCACATATTTTTTTAAATGACCGATACACCAAACTTACTGCAAACTGTGGCAAACTACAATGTGTGTTCTTTTAATCTGTATAATTGTGCGAAAATGAAAAGAAGCGTCAGCATCTTTTTTTTCTTAAATTAATTAATTACAGCTTCATAGTGAAATGGTGATATGATCAAATTTAAACTGATTTTGTAATTTGTGGTATATTTGACTGATTTTTCTAAACATTTTTGAGAATTTTAAAAATCGCTTTTGCACATCAAGAAAAGTTTGAATACGACGACGCTACAGGCGTTTAAATGTGAATACACTGTATAAAAATTTATTTTGATAGTCATAGTCTAAAAAACGTTCAATCGAGGACAGCTGTGCATATTTTTATGTACTTATTAAAATTGCGATAGTGTGAAATCTTTTAAAGATATACTATGGCATTTGAGAAAACCTTTCGTAAGTAAATTTCTGACTGACATTCTTCATACTAATTGATCTGCAATGATTAGTATATACAGATTAAATTGTTGAAAGATTTAACTGTTATTTCCCAATCTTTACGATGAGCAAATTAAACGACGAGTGTAACACTCGGAAAGGGATGCTCTCTCCTCCATTTCACCTAATCCCGCCAACGAATTTTCGGAATCCATTGTTGTTCTCCTTCTGATCTGCATTGTTTTTGATTGTGAAAAATGGTATTTTTTCCACATGCATGTATGTCATTAAAATATATAATTGAAACGTCTTGTTATTAAGTGATTTTTTTTTTCATATTTAGGAGATATCCAAACAAAATGTGATCATTTTTAAAAAAGGGAAGAGAAAAGGTTGAGAAGGAAATATTGCTTGCTGAGAAATGTCAGGAATAGTTACATGTAAACAAAAGTCTGTCATTGCGCAGGGTCTAGAAAATTGTCGACACATTTCCCATGTCACTTCAGACCTGTTCTGGATCAGTGATAGAGAAAATCTTATTTTGATGAACACTGCAGGTGATGATCTTTTTCATCTGGCAGATGCAGTCAACGGACATCAAGTACACAGCCTGAACAGTGATGGAGATTTAATCTATATAGACGATAAGAATAATATTAACAAATATTCTATGAAGAATATATCAAAGGGTTTATTAGTAAAATGTACAAAACCATGGAATCCACGGTGTGTCTTTAGCTCCCACTATAATGGAGACCTTCTTGTTGGGATGTTTGAGTCTGATTCGGGTACAGCCAAGGTAAACAGGTTTAACCTAAAGGGAGAAATTATTCATAACATTGAATTTGACAACAACGGCAAAAAATTGTACAGTTACATTAGATTTATCACAGAAAACCACAATGGAGATGTTATTGTGTCAGACTTTTACATGTCCGCCGTAGTGGTGACAGATCGTAATGGAAGACATCGTTTCTCCTATAAAGGATATCCACCAGGAACAGGATCGTTTCGACCAGGTGGAATCTGTACTGACTCGCTGTCTCGCATCCTTGTGTGTGATCCAGTGAACCACACTGTACATGATATTGACAAAGATGGGAACTTTCTCTCGATGATACTGACACTACAGCAAGGGATATACAAACCACTAGGTCTGAGTTTGGATGAGGAAAAAAGTCTTATCAGGGTTGGTTCAGAGGACAACAACACAGTGGACATATTCAAATGGTTTTGCAAGGAATTTAAGTTGGGTAATTAATGATATTTATGTGTTTCTATTTAGATATCAATAAGAAATATTTTGCTAGATTCCGTTAAAGAACTTAAAACAATAATTATTGGAACACTATGTTAACGCTTAAAACTTTAAGTGCATTTTGGTTGTATAAATGATAAAATTATGGATAGTGTTTACTTACCTCTGATTCTACTTTATGTACAATAACATAACAAACTTATTCTGTTAAATTCTGCGTAAATGTTCTGCTTAGGTCTTGTTAAACATCAGATCTTTCAAATACATTATAAATGAGAATTATTATCGACACAGATACTTTGTTTTTTTTAATTACTTAGGCATGTTTTATTTCTATTTTCTTGTTATCATTTTACATAAGTTTTGACAATCGATTCCTCTGTCTATTTACTTCATGTCAACCATTAACTTAGGTATATCAAGGATGAATGGTTTGATAAAAAAATTAGCTGAATTTGGTACTTTTTTACCAATAGACTAATGGGGACATACATATTGGATAGCAATGAATAAATATCAATAAAAAGTTATAGTTTACAATTGATTAGAGAGATGTAAGAATCATACAACAAAAGAAGCAGAAACGTTTTGTGTGGATTGTGAAGTTGCAATGTGTGAGAATTGCACCAGGCGGGAAGAACACAGCGGGCATTGTATTAAAGACATTCACAAGATTCAAGGTATCCCAAAATACTAACCGGAGGTTAACTATATATTATCAATGATTATGAACATTATCCATATTTTACACAAAGATTTGCTATCGGTGTCAAAAATATTTTTTTAAACATTTTGTCTGCTTAGCACGTCATTCTTGAGGGATATAATTCTTCAATTTATGTGTAATTTATTCCTAATATTAAGCAAATATGACAAGGCGTGGTAATAAATCACATAAAATGAGTTTATTAGATAAGTAAGGACTGAGGTTGATATTAAGATGTACCAGGTACTACACACGCCCAATTCATTTAATAGTGTATCCTCTACTAAAGATAAAGTGTAAGAAGCATCCAACAAACAAACCTACGAAGTTTTGTGTAGACTGTGACGTTCCAGTGTGTTTGGATTGCATAATCTCTAAAGAGCACATTTTTCACTTCGTGAAAGGTAATTCAAACTATAAAATACTTCCTTTGTTTGATATTACTTGAATTTACAGAAGCATCATTCTGTAATAAAAAATAAACATTTTAATGTTTAAATTTATTTCTGTTTGAATATTCATTTAAAGAAGGATTTAAAATTTTAATTATTGTACTTATTATGCGAACGTCTTTATACATTTCATTGATGAAACAGCCACTGATCAAGAAATATGAACAAGCGACATGCCTAATGTAGTATATGCAGCGATTTTCCTACGAAATAAAGGAGAAAAAATTCAGTGGATGTAAATTTAAATACGCAAATTTTTAAAGATATAAAAGAAAATCACGTTTTTTTTTTATAAACAATAACTTTGCAATGAACCACTTTTAAAAAATTGTACCATGCATTTAGGTATCAATCTGTTTCAGTTACGATATCTACATTTACCCTTTGATTGAAAATTGTCTTATGTCAAATGACAACTATGATATTTTACACATTTTTTGTAAGTTTATAAGCAAATCCTTATAATAATATCATTCTATTTCATAGGATTCCCACTGCGGAATGCAAAATGTGAATATCATAAACCATTAATAATAACGAAATTTTGCATCGACTGTGACGAACCCTTGTGCGACGAATGCAGCAACTCTAATAGGCATACCTTTCATTCCATGATAGATGTGTTACAGAAAACAGGTTTGAAAATTAATGCGAAAGTACTTTAATATTGTTTTTTCTATATTTTGAAAATATATCTGAGCTGAAGACTTCATGACCTTATACATTTTTTTTACAGGAGGTGTCTTTAGAAAGGGGCCTGGAAACGATTCCTCCAATGAGCACGTTGATAGAAATATTATTCAAATGATGAGTATGTACAATACTTAAATGTACAATATACCTTCATAGGGGAAAATGTTTATGCAATGCCACGACAGTTGTCCAGTAGGACAGATGGGTATTTTTGCTATGGATTCATCATAATATTTTCCATTGAGAAACTCAAGATCATACCCAAAATAATACTAGGTCTGTTTAATAATAGCATGATATGGAGATAACGAACAGTATTCAATCTCAATGTCCATTAAACAATATACAAAATAAGACACGGACCTCCGAAATATCAGAGGTTGGTTCAGGTTAAATGGAGGAGTGAGCATCCCTTGCCGACCGGTCACACCCGCTGTGTGCTCATTGTCATGAACAGGAAAGAACGGGGAAAATCCGTCGTCAATTCAGTGTATAAATAATGGACTAACAATTGGTATGAAAAACGTTAGTCAGCATTTGACTCAATGATAAATTGTATTTGCTGACAAGGTCATTGTATCGACCATAGAATTTACGAAACGACGACCCCAAACGACACTGCAGACACCCCTGTATCACTAACTCGCTATGTAAGATTATTTTGTGACTGGTTGTAAACGCTTCTGTTAGACAAGGAAATAATGCTAAATACACTTTAACTGTAAAGGCTTTCTTTTTCAGGAGCTGACGAAGAACAGTATTTTAGACTTAATTCATTTGCGAATATAATGCACAAATTTACAAAAGGGACAGACGAACAGGAATCTATAAGTACAGAAACTAGAGGTATGTTTTCGATAAAAATCTTTTGAACACTATAATCCAACTTTTCAGAAAAGGGGTCGCCCGCCTAGCAGTGGTTGAGCCTTTCCTCCAGAGCAGCGAAGTATAGAGTCAATTCCTACGTCGTGGGTTCGAATCCCACTGTGAGACACGGATACCGGTCCTTTGGATGATACCGTATAAACCAAGGTCCCGTGTCGCAGCAAGTGTTGGCAAGCTCATCACGATATAATGTATTGACAAAAAGTGGAAATTATCATTGATAATTGGCAGTACGTAGTCGATATATCGCAATGTCTTACAGCAAAAATATGGCTGAAATATTGGCTTGACATAAAACAGTAAAAAATCAATCAAGAAATTTAATTGTCGAGTTGAAGGCCACAGGAAGTGTTTTCTTCTTTTTGCGAATTAGATTTTGCTTAAATTCTGATTGATATAAATGCAAAAATAAGCCTGGTAATACATGTAACAAATCGCAATTATTACCCATAGTGATTCCAATAGATTGTTGCAAGACCTGGTCTGTGAAAACCACCTAGATATTGTCAAGCAGAATCCCGAGACTCTTTTTTTTGTCAAAAAGCCTTTATTTTGTGGTAGGAAATGGTTGTGTATACAGTTTAAAAATCGTAAGTTCTTAGCTGCTGATTTTAGTACAATTTTGAGATTTCAAATTGTCCAAACCTTCTTTGGAATTTTTAGTATCCACATATGTAGGACTTTGCCACATCATATGGAACGTGGTGAATATCATGGAAGGATATGGAGATAACGAATAGCATGCAATCAAAGTCAATAACACAAAACAAAATAGGACCAGAAAAAATACGGACCTCTGAAATATCAGAGGTGGGATCAGGTGCCATGGGGAGTGGGCTTTCCCTGTCGACCGGTCACACCCGCCGTGTGTTTCTGACATGAACGGGAAATAACGGAAAAAATCCATCGTCAGTTTTAGGGAGTTCACTGCTCACAGTACCTTTACTTTCCATCAATTTTTTCGAAAAATCAAAAAAAATTCCAATAAACAACTATTTAAGCTTTTCCAAGTCATGTCAATAGATAATGTGTGGGACCGATATTTTTAAATTCAGGGTCGCATTGCAGCAGATATATATGTTAAACCATTCGGATTTGGTCGGTTTATTCGTGACTGGTAAAATAAGAACCTATGTTAACTTGCTCAATTAATAGTTTTTTGAAAGGCTGATTTTAATGAATCAATATTCAATTCCATAAGTCATTGAACATCTTTGACAGACAAATTACTTTTTGAAATTAATCACATTTATTGTACAATTGTTTATGGTCAGTATATCACATTTGTCATTCAAGGCGTTCTGATTAACTTCTACTTCTGACTTTACCATTTTCTAATCAAAATGGTAATTTTTTTATTGTTCAGGGGCTGCTTTGGGAGTGGAATCTAGAAGCCGTTCTTATTTTCCTTTCGCACGACGTCAACCGACACAAACTTCAAGAGAGAATTCAACAATGACGAAGAGCAGCAGTATGTACAATTCTTCAATAAACTATATGCTTATTCAATTTAATAAAGAATTACCATTTTTATACAGCCTTGACTTCGATTCCTGTCTAGCAGGATTGATGCATAATTGTGCATCGGTTCGTCAAAATATTTTCCATTCAAAAGAAAAAGATAATTCTTGGAACTGTATCATGTCAGTTTAGTTTATTGCATGTTTCCATTGAACTATTTAAGTACTATATTTACTGTTACAGTAAAGTTTTCTTTTTACAGGAGATGATCATGAAGAGGATCGCAGACGCTATATATTCGATACACTTGCATTAAAATTTAACGAAATGAGAAAAGACGCAAGTGAGTTAAGGCTTCGTATGAAGGTTCCTAAGCAAAATATCTCAATAACTAAGCACAATAACTCTCGATTACCGCCTACAGTTTGCATCCATTTAATTCAATATTACAATGTAACAGCAAATTGTCCATAAAATCTGTATTTAGTAGAAAAAACATTTCAATTGTAATTGATTAATTTTTTCAATACCAGCGGTGAACTGTAGATTATTTCAATCCAGCAATTAAACGGTGTAGTTGATAGTCGCAGTACCATAAGGCAACACACTGATCAGAATTTTACAAATGTACACGCCTTTTGTAACATGAAAAATATGTAAGACTGATAAATCGGAAAAATCATAGGAAAACTTTTGATATTATTATCCATAGACTTCAGTGAGACTAACTCTTCAGGAGGCGCTCCATCACATAACGTAGTCATCATGTGACGTCTATAAATAGAAAAATGTACCTTATTAAAACATCCCCGCGTTTTCCATTGAAGTCTGAATTTCAAGCATCATCATACTTCGTAATAGTCTTGGATCTGATTAAATATTCTTCATATCTTTTCATATGCTATTTGGTAATAAATTAAACATAAAAAATATAATTTGGATTGAATTTGTAAAATGACTGTCCATAAGACCATTAAAAGGGAATTTTGGTTTCACGGTGGGTGGGCTGGGGGTACTATGTTTTAAACTTATTTTAAGTTTTCCGTTGAGTTCTTTAGTGAAAGCTACCGCAGCTCCGTGTTTGCTTTGTTCCATGTGTGTATTTTATAGACATGCAATTTAATTTGAACAATAGAGATTTCATCTCATATTTCACCCCATTAAGGATCAGATTATATTTTTTGTGAGTAAACTTTCTATGAAAAAAAAGTTTTTAGTTCTTGTTATTGGCTTTTTTTTCTACCTGATCAAAGACAATTACCTTCCTTGCCAGTCTAGTCCATATGAATTCATTTAAACATTCCTACTGCAAATCAGATAGCATGGTAACAAAAAACAGTACATATGAAAAGACTTTTTAAAATTAAAGAACTGCTCATCCACGTAGGACATTGGGTTATTTAACTATTTTCTTTTGCCCTTGATGGTATAATCTTCGCATGACATAAAAACAATTTTTTTATGTTATCGAATTATGTATTTGTTGCTTAGCTAGTTATACGGTTTTTATTTATTGAATTGCTTCTAGACACCCAATATGAAACTAAGACCTTATGACTAAACTTGACCTTGAATTTCGACTTCAGACTTAATGTTTTTCAGATAAAAAATGGAACTGTTTTATTTTTAGAAGGTGCTTTTGGAGGTAAGTATGAAAGAGATTTCCCTGATGATTCTATCGAATATCAACAAGACCAAAGAGAGAGAAAATTTTCCAGAGAGAATGAAGGAATAACAAGGTTATATACAAGTATGTAAAAACTTCTCAGTTTATCATATTCTCGTCTGTTTAATGACCATTTATTTAGCCAACGATTCACCGGATGGGCATTCGAAAGAAAAGATTATACAGGATAAATGTCAGGTTGTTGGAATTAATTGCTTTGACTTATTTAAGCAATATCTGCTGTTGGCACAGGCACCATCGATACAATGTTTTCTTTTTCATATCAGGAGATAATGCTAACGAGGACCGTGGACTTTCTTTTTTACAAAACTTAATATCAAAACCGCGAGAGATGAATGACAAAGACAGATTTTTAAAACCGGAAAGTAGAGATGAAATACAAGACATAGGTATGTTTTCATCAAAATCATGTAGTTTTCGTAGGTTCAACTTACATGTACTTTAAAATGTGTATCTCATTGTTTGTCAAACAACAGGTGTAAAAATCTTATTAACGAAAGATCCAAGTGATTCCAATATATGAACAATTTGCATTTTTAACGTGTCAAATTTGTTTAACATTCAAAGGCTTAAATTAAGATAAAACGAAACTCGCCGGATGTTAGAGTGTACACGTTGTCTGTGTATTGGAGTTACCTAACTTACCACTTAATTCATAAATAAAGTTATGATTGGTCTAGTTGATTGTAAATATCGAAGTATTATGAAAGGTGACGTCAGCTGTACATTTTTGCGCGTCACCTTTGCATATTTGGCGCAGGACTCTAAACAAAAATGACAATGAACATAACTTCAGTACTTTTACTTTTAAAAAATGTTATATTTATCCAAGTAATATCGTCGTACAATTTTTATCTTGTAACTAAAGCTTTCCAAATTTTAAATTTGTTTAGAAGACGAACAGGGGTCAATTAAGACAGAGAGAAAAGAAGAGGCCAAAGCTATTGGTATATTCTCACTAAAAGCTTTTGTATTACTTTAATCCTACTTAACAAATAATATATTGTGTCTATAAGAACAACTCAGATGAGAAGGGGCGAAATTAAGAAGTAAGCATCCACTGATATATAGAATCAAATCTATTATAAAAAAAATCCCATTTACCTTTAGCAAAGGAAAGATTAAAACCATGTTTTTTAACATTTGTTATCAGATCCTGAAATCCAAACTGAGAATCTTTTGCAACACATGAAGACTAAAATGACAAGAGTGCGACATGCACGAGGGATCGTTGTTGGATGTACAGGAGCAGGCAAAACAACGCTTTTATACAGACTTATGGGAAGAAGTCTTAAAGAAATCAAAGAAATTGAATCCACTTTAGGTCTTCAAGTGTACGAGCACATATTCACTGTGCAAGACAAGTCTTTTCAAGGTAGGAAAATGTTAAGAATTCAGACTTTTGCAAGCTAATATATCTATATTATAATAACAGTTACTTGATCTGAAGGATCGTATCATGTTGAGCTTACAGGCGCAGATTATCGAATCAAACGAGACTCCAAGCTTCGAGTCTGATATGATGATCTACGCCTTTCAAAAAGACATGATTCGACTCCTTGGATCACATAACTGATATAATGATAACTTCATCATATACAGTTTAATATACCCCTTCTTATTTGCTTAATATATTAAGGTAAATGTGATGGGACTTTTTAACAATACTCAGAGACGTAAGCGTAGTCATGGACATCGTTCGTACAAAAAACCTGCAATACACGACGTCTCTTTTGATTCATTACTACCTTATGTAAATCAACAGTTAGGTCTACATCACATTCGAACCAAACTTTACTCTGTGCCTTTGAATCTTTTAAAAAGTCTTCTTGAAAAGACCAAGGAACGTCCAAACTTAGATTCCTCGACACCTGAATATAGGCTCGGTTCTGTGATTATGGATATTGCACATCATAGGCTTTTTAAACCCGCACGTTTCACGGAAGAAAATGCAGCTAAAACAATCCGTCTTTTCCTTAAACTTCAATATGCCAATAAAGGAATTGACGCGGTTAATATAAGTAATATTCTTAATCACAAAAGGGTCGAGTCTTGTATTCCACCATATTTCAAGTTAAAGACTACGCCTTGTATTTCCTACAAATATACATCGACCATTGCTTCCAAACTTTTTAATTACAAAAACACTTTACATGGCCTGGATATTGACTATCTGAAAAATAATCCCCTTTCGTGTTCATGTTCTTCTTCGCCCTAAAACTAAAGTCCTGCTGGACACGTTATTACAGGTGACGTAAAAATAATTCGTATTGAGGACCTTAGATCACTTATTTTAAAAGGTCCTACATACAGGGAACCTGATCCTTCAACTGGCGTCGGAATTTCATAAATATTATGGATTCTGTTGAAAATTATGCCAGACGATGGGCTAAATATGAAAAAGAAGACATTGACACCTTGTCAGAATGGATTAAATGTATCAGATCCATGTTAAAGTCACGTATTAAAAGATTGAGGGGCAAAATGAAAACCATCTATCCTTCTGTGTTCAATAAACCAGAAGTGAAAAAAGAATTAGATAGATTACACGATCAGTACGTACTGGTTCCTGTCGACAAAGCAGGTAACAACATTGTCATCGTTTGTAAGGCTCATTATATAAATTGCATTCTAGAAGAACTTGGATTTAATTCTACGTGACAGGTGCGGTTGGTGTAATGACCTTTAACGAATTCCTTTTGCATTCGCCCAGACAAGACACAGCGGATCCAATTGAGTAGGCTTTCTCATGCCCCTTAGTGGTCTTGTTTGGCAAGCAGCCTCTCATGTGGGAACTTGTCAAATGCTTTTAAAAAGTTCAACAGCACTGCATCAACCTGGGTGTTGGTATGAATACTCAAGGCAAGGTCCTGGAATGTTTTTATTAGATGCACAGTACATATAAGATCCGCAATGGAGATATCGACTATATTTTGTACTTAAAAATGTATACATTATCTGGATTGCGATTATTTTCAGTAAATCATTTATATCAGAAAATTGTTATTATTATCAATAAATCTTGTCATATTGACAAGTGTATTGCGATCAGTGACTTGTTTATAACTTGTCATGTAGGATTTAACTAACAACAAAAGGCACGCTGTCGTAAGTTTTTATGTAGTTGGATGATTTCGTAGGTGTTGAATTAGCAAATCATCTCATTTTGTGGTATTTTAAAGAAATTGAGTGATACTCAGCGAGATATTCGCTGTTTGGGAAGTCCATTGTTGTTTAACGTTGGTCAACAGATGCCAAGAAGAATTGGTAATACTTGTGTAACTGGATGAGCCATCTCTTTCAGAAATCTAGTGAAGATCTCATCTTCGCCAGTCACTTTATTTAAGCTGGTGTTGGGTGAAGGATATGAAAAAAAGAACAGTATTAAATCTCAACGTCCATTTAACAATATACATATTATGTGTTAAACTGTCAAGGTAGTACATTAGTTCGTGGTCAAGATCTTTTGGCATCTTCGCTTCGTTGGCTTTCTTCCATAGCTGGATGAAGCGTATGACGACTGGTTTATGTCAGAAGGGCACTATGCTTGCATGTGTCAATAATGGTCATGTCATGGTTATCGAGAACCGTATGTACATGGTACATGTATGCACCTGTTCAGTAATAAGTGACGGTTCGTGTTAAAAATATCTAAGGTGCTAGAATTTTGAGTAGGAAAGTCTACCACCTGCTCACCTTCAATGATAAGTAACGCATTGATAAAAGTGGTTTTGATACCTGCTGTGTTATGCTGGGTTGAAGAGCTGAACAACTTCGAGTCAATATAGGGCAGATTGACATCGCCTTCGACCCATATGTGCGAACGTTAATATCTCCTACAGCGTCTCTATGTATTGCATCTTACCGCTTGGTTGCTGTTAAAGCGAACAATGATATATGTGCTCTACTGTGCTCACAGGTGATCACAGCAGTTGTAAATTCTGTGGTAGTGGGTGTCTGTATCAACTTGGACCCCATCAACGTTGTATATGGCAATTATCACTGCTACGCCTTCATGTGGTCGACAATTTGATCCATTCTAGTAAAGAGGTTGTCAAATAATAATCTTAAATAGGGAATAGTGACTATAAACTCCTGTATTATAAATAACAGAAACTTTTCTACATTTAAACTTTACATTTTTAATTAACAAAATTTGATACACCAAAATAAACTGCTTGGGTGTGTGGCCCTCCGTGTCCCTCGAATGTCGGTAGACTTTGGTTCCAAACAGTGTTTGACACACACTTCTATCGCTACTACTACAATACTGCTGCCAAGGTGGCTCAGACACCCCTTCCAAGTGCAAAAAGATTACACTTCCCCCTCTCCAGTGCCGAAGAAGTTAAACATCCGTCTTGCGTTCAAGACTGTGAGATGTGACTGTTACGGGCCGCCACCTCTACACATACAGGAATGACATAATGGAATGATCAATGAGAAATGTTAAATACCATACACAGAATAATATAGACATACAATTTACGCTGTGAAACGTAACAGTGCAATATGTACAATGCAATAATCGCTATACTTTATAACAGTTTTTACCGAACATAAAACCTACAAATAAAGACACAAACAACCCACCGTACTTTTAAGAATTAAGCAGTTCCGAATACAATGTAACTATAAATAACAGAACTTAAGAAATATAAAATGGAGTAGCTTAAAGTTGCATATTTTAAAAATTCCGTGTCTGTATGTTTTAAGATATTTACAACTTTATAAAATAATAAAAACAAACGCAAATAATCCTTACATGTACCTCATAGAAGTAGGACCATACCCATAATCTTACATTAAGGTTGGGTTGAAATACCCTCAGTGGTCTGCCATGTGCATAAGATCAATCAATTAGATTTTACATGTTGAAGTTTTGAAAACTTTGTTCAAATTGAAGCACGGGCTAACCAAAATTTTAAAGGTCAAGTGATTTGAGGTATAAAATGGGATAAATTTAGCCAGTGAAAAATGGAGGCTCCCCACAGTTGAATACAAATTACTTGCATGTTCGATTTATGAGATTTTAGTGTTTAATTTTAATAACCAAACATTCTTTTTCCACTGTTGCGTACACACTTTCACACTCTTTCAACTTCCTACTCGCTTATGCTACTGGTAATTTTGATCTTCTTGACTCTGTTACAACACAGCCAGTAAACCTCTATCAGATGCATCAGTCTGAAGTATAAACGACTCCTTTATGTTTCGTAGTTTCAAAATAGGAGAATAAATTAAGAACGACCTCAAAGACTGATATGCAATTTCTTGACATTTTCCCAACACAAGTTTGGTCGGACACCCTTTTTCTAGTCAAATCTCTTAACGGCAAGGCAATGCATGCAAAATTTGGAACAAACTTACGATTAAATCCTATTTATCCAAGGAATGATCACAGTTGTTCCTTAGTTCCTGGCCTTGGCGTATAGCCTTGACGATGTCTGACATTGGTCTCAACTGTTCAATGCCAATCACATGATCTATACAATTCAAACTGGGCTAGGCAAATGAGCACGTACTTGGTTTAGCGGTTAGACCTGCTCTACGTAGCCGCTGAAAGAGTTCGTCAAGTACTATGAGATGATGTTCAAATATTTTTGTTAAAATAATTATGTCGTCAATAAAATTGTCAAAATTTTGATGTCTCTCAAAACTTTCCGCATCAATCGTGAAAAAGTAGCTGGCGCTGTGACTAAGCTAAAGGTCATAAGAAAAAATTGAAATAACCCTTTACTTGTTCTAAAAGGTGTCTTTGGTTTAGATGCTTTTGTCAACTTTATTTGCTTATACCTCTTTGATAAGTCATTTTTTTTTTTTAGAAATAATTGTTCCCTGCAAATTTTCCAAACATTTCATCGGCGTCTGGTATTAGTTCAAAGTAAGAATTTGTCTGTCTGTTTAGTAGCCTAAAGTCAATACAAAACCGATTGGTACATTCTTCTTTGGAACAATAACTATTGGTGAACAAAAAGGAGACTCTTACGGTTCAATGATTTTTAATTTCATCATGTCACTTACCTCCTTGTTAACTGTTTCTTCCAAAGAAAAGGGAATTGAAAGTGTTTTAACATTTATTGGCTTATCACTTACCATGTGAATGTCATGTTCTAAAATATTAGTGCTTCTTGGTTGGTCTTGAAGAACGTCATCGTACTTGGCTATGATACTCTTCAACGTTTACCTCTTTTCAGTTAATAGCGAACCATTTATATCTACCGCTGTGCCTCGGTCAGCATCCAGTGTCGGATAGTCGTCTAAATGTCCTTCCTGTGTTCCGTCTTTCACACAATTCACAAATGTAGCATTTACTGTACCAAATACACTTTCACAACAAGAACTTTGTTACCTTGAATTCTTTCGACATATTTCTTC